TACTTAATTTTGTTGATCGCCAAATTATGAGAAAAAAATCTGATACAAGATTGATCATTAAAAGAAAAGAAACATTAAAACGATTGGAATAGTCAGATAATCGAATTAAATCAACTTAATGTTTTTCATGTGTCAGGAGGAAAAAGAGACTGAAATGCCAGAAATCAGTAATCTTAAACCAACTGCAAACACTTCTGGAGCAGAGGCGCAGTCAATGGCCGCCACTCCAGAACAACAGATATTAGAGCCAGCAAATAAAACCCTCCTAAATTCCTCTAACATAAGGCCATTTGTCTTTGCAAACATACAGGGTCTAAAGCCGTCAACAAATAACAAAATTCCTTAGATCAAGGTGGCCCGGTGGTCTGGTGGCTAAAACTCTCGCTTCACACACGGAGGGCCCGGGTTCGATTCCCGGCGGGTGGAAATTCCGACACGTTTCCTTACACCTATTGTCCTGTTCACCTAGCAGCAAATAGGTACCTGGGTGTTAGTCGACTGGTGTGGGTCGCATCCTGGGGGGACAAGATTAAGGACCCCAATGGAAATAAGTTAGACAGTCCTCGATGACGCACTGACTTTCTTGGGTTATCCTGGGTGGCTAACCCTCCGAGGTTAAAAATCCGAACGAAATCTTATCTTATCTTAAGGAACTGCCGTTGAAATGGTGTTATAATGTTCAGACTCCCAGGAACTGTTAGCGTGTTACACCACCCGCACTGCCATCTAGCGGGCAGCTGGAAATGAAACTTCAATTTTCTCGGGTCTGAGTTTGTTTCTACTCCTGGTTGTATTAACTTTATCTGGTGTGGGTTGAAGAATAACTTCTCCTCGACTCTTCTCTTGATTATTAAGTTTTCTAACCTAGTTACCAGTAAGGACATAGAAGCAAATTTACCCCACTTTGTCTTTCTTCAACGATATACTTAATAACCATCTTGTAACCAGTGTTTGTGTTATTAACAGCTCTGCTGGTGGCTTGGTTATCCAGAGTAGACGCTGGATTTATTGAAGCCAGAACCCAGCAATCGAGACATAGTGAGGACACTATGTACATAGTGAGGACGCTGCTATACATGTGGTACATAGTGAGGACGCTGCTGTACATGTGGTACATAGTGAGGACACTGATATACCTGCTATTAATGACACTGAACATGATAGTAGTGAAGAAACTAATAACACTGATCTTCATGACCCACCAGACTGGAACAACCACATAATCAACTCTACATGAGTTAATTAACCTTGCCGGTTCCTCCACAATGATAACAGTCTGTGCCAGTGGTTCATTCTGTGCGATAAAAATAAAAATACAAGTCCATTATGGAAGTTCTACTCAGACTATCAAAATACAACGACCTCAAGTGACTGGGTTAATACTTGATCTCCAACTTGGTTACACAAAACACTTGTGGTTCCTTTGTCGAATAGTCGTGACGATGCTGACACATTTCACCAGTGACTGCTATTACTCTCTTAAGCTATTAACATTGGTTCGCCAGATAATCTGACACGTTATGCCACCTGCTCTCCCAGTGATTATCTGATAGGGATATACTGTCATACCTCAAAGGCCGCCATCTACAACAACGTCAAAGAATAGTGATAAGAAAGAAAAATTCAACATACAATATATGGCACTGGTGTATCCTCAAGACATTACTTCCACCATTACATACATAGTTGAGCCAAATTAAAAGCTTTGTAAATACTATGAATTGTTGGGCCAGAAATACGTTAAGTTTTGTCAGAGTCAGTCTTCCTATTATACCTGAGCCTACTGCAGCTGGCTGCATCAGAGTCAGTCTTCCTATTATACCTGAGCCTACTGCAGCTGGCTGCATCAGAGTCAGTCTTCCTATTATACCTGAGCCTACTGCAGCTGGCTGCATCAGAGTCAGTCTTCCTATTATACCTGAGCCTACTGCAGCTGGCTGCATCAGAGTCAGTCTTCCTATCATACCTGAGCCTACTGCAGCTGGCTACATCAGAGTCACTCTTCCTATCATACCTGAGCCTACTGCAGCTGGCTGCATCAGAGTCAGTCTTCCTATCATACCTGAGCCTACTGCAGCTGGCTACATCAGAGTCAGTCTTCCTATCATACGTGAGCCTACTGCAGCTGGCTACATCAGAGTCACTCTTCCTATCATACCTGAGCCTACTGCAGCTGGCTGCATCAGAGTCACTCTTCCTATCATACGTGAGCCTACTGCAGCTGGCTACATCAGAGTCACTCTTCCTATCATACCTGAGCCTACTGCAGCCGGCTACATCAGAGTCAGTCTTCCTATCATACCTGAGCCTACTGCAGCTGGCTGCATCAGAGTCAGTCTTCCTATCATACCTGAGCCTACTGCAGCTGGCTACATCAGAGTCACTCTTCCTATTATACCTGAGCCTACTGCAGCTGGCTACATCAGAGTCACTCTTCCTATCATACGTGAGCCTACTGCAGCTGGCTACATCAGAGTCACTCTTCCTATCATACCTGAGCCTACTGCAGCTGGCTACATCAGAGTCAGTCTTCCTATTATACCTGAGCCTACTGCAGCTGGCTGCATCAGAGTCAGTCTTCCAATCATACCTGAGCCTACTGCAGCTGGCTGCATCAGAGTCAGTCTTCCTATCATACCCGAGCCTACTGCAGCTGGCTGCATCAGAGGCAGTCTTCCTATTATACCTGAGCCTACTGCAGCTGGCTGCATCAGAGTCAGTCTTCCTATCATAACTGAGCCTACTGCAGCTGGCTGCATCAGAGTCAGTCTTCCTATCATACCTGAGCCTACTGCAGCTGGCTGCATCAGAGTCAGTCTTCCAATCATACCTGAGGTTACTGCAGCTGGCTACATCAGAGTCACTCTTCCTATCATACGTGAGCCTACTGCAGCTGGCTACATCAGAGTCACTCTGCCTATCATACCTGAGCCTACTGCAGCTGGCTACATCAGAGTCAGTCTTCCTATTATACCTGAGCCTACTGCAGCTGGCTGCATCAGAGTCAGTCTTCCAATCATACCTGAGCCTACTGCAGCTGGCTGCATCAGAGTCAGTCTTCCTATCATACCCGAGCCTACTGCAGCTGGCTGCATCAGAGGCAGTCTTCCTATTATACCTGAGCCTACTGCAGCTGGCTGCATCAGAGTCAGTCTTCCTATTATACCTGAGCCTACTGCAGCTGGCTGCATCAGAGTCAGTCTTCCTATCATAACTGAGCCTACTGCAGCTGGCTGCATCAGAGTCAGTCTTCCTATCATACCTGAGCCTACTGCAGCTGGCTGCATCAGAGTCAGTCTTCCTATCATACCTGAGGTTACTGCAGCTGGCTGCATCAGAGTCAGTCTTCCTATCATACCTGAGCCTACTGCAGCTGGCTGCATCAGAGTCAGTCTTCCTATCATACCTGAGGTTACTGCAGCTGGCTGCATCAGTCTTCCTATCATACCTGAGCTTACTGCAGTTGGCTGCATCAGAGTCAGTCTTCCTATCATACCTGAACCTACTGCAGTTGGCTGCATCAGAGTCAGTCTTCCTATCATACCTGAACCTACTGCAGCTGGCTGCATCAGAGTCAGTCTTCCTATCATACCTGAGCCTACTGCAGCTGGCTGCTTCAGAGTCAGTCTTCCTATCATACCTGAACCTACTGCAGCTGGCTGCATCAGAGTCAGTCTTCCTATCATACCTGAACCTACTGCAGCTGGCTGCATCAGAGTCAGTCTTCCTATCATACCTGAGCCTACTGCAGCTGGCTGCATCAGAGTCAGTCTTCCTATCATACCTGAGCCTACTGCAGCTGGCTGCATCAGAGTCAGTCTTCCTATCATACCTGAGCCTACTGCAGCTGGCTGCATCAGAGTCAGTCTTCCTATCATACCTGAACCTACTGCAGCTGGCTGCATCAGAGTCAGTCTTCCTATCATACCTGAACCTACTGCAGCTGGCTGCATCAGAGTCAGTCTTCCTATCATACCTGAACCTACTGCAGATGGCTGCATCGGAGTCAGTCTTCCTATCATACCTGAACCTACTGCAGCTGGCTGCATGGGAAGTATTCAAACAGGTTGTCCAGAACTTCCCAGGAAGGCAAAGACAAAACTATTTTATCGAGTTAGGCCAAAACATAATAATAATATTTATTTACTACAAGTACATGTACAAGGTATACAGTCCTAGCTGACAACAATGACTTACTGCTATATAGAAACTCCCTTGTTATGCTCCGCATTTCGGGCAAATTAGGTCAGTGTCCCAGGATGCGACCCACACCAGTCGACTAACACCCAGGTACCCATTTTACTGATGGGGAACATAGACAACAGGTGGAAAGAAACACATCCAACGTTTCTACTCTGGCTGTGAATCGAGCCCAGACCCTCGCCGTGTGAAGCGAGAGCGTTAACCACCAGGCCACCAGAGCCCTGATGATAGTAGAGCACTTTCTTCATTCATACTTAAACTTCTTTCCATCTAATCTTTGTGTTGTTAGGAGCATTGTGTAAGATTTCAGCAGAATATTAGTACAATATAGGTAAGCTATCAGGGGCGTTTCACTTGCAACATGATGTGAGACAACTGTCAGGTTGGTGTCGTCACGAAGACATTGTTAGTCAACAATGTCAAGTCAAAATGCTCAAACTCTTCTTAAATATTTTCTTCTTCCAGTGAGAATATGTTGCATAATGTCCTTGAAGCATTGTTTAGCAGTTACTTTATAACAGGGAATAAGTTTTTAATGACTCATTATATTACCTGTGTTGTGAATTTTGATGAAAGATGATATATAAATGAACAATACTTAAAATTATATTTTTCCAATAACTAAAAATCCTCACTTTATAACTTTAGTTCGACTTAAAATTAGTAATTTTAAGATGTTTATCTTACATAAGAATACCTAAATTTATCTCAGTTGCAGATCAAACTTTGTTGTCCAGCATCTTCTATCATTATTATTTAATTGTGAAACATATCAAAATTAGACAAGGTAAACTTACTTTCCTGAGATGTAACATCCCAGCAACTTATGGACGGACCATAACCAGAGGCTGTATATGATGCAACTTCTGCTGTGACGTTGGTATAGGAAGAAAGGTCGCGCAGTCTGATGTGATTACCCATGTTAGTGGTGACATCTGAACCAGCTTCATCACTCCACAAGACGTCCCATGACCAGCTGATGTTGTGGTTGGTAATTGCACACTTAATATCTGCGTCTTGCCAGTGCAGCATCATAGCTGTGTTCGTGATGTCTTCAAACCAGCAACTTTGTGGTGGCGGCGGCACTGTGGGAAAACGTTATAACGAGTGAAAAAAAATATTGTACAGCCTTATGATTAATTAAAAATATTTAAATTGCTGTTTCCATTAAAGTTGAGACTGTGAGAAGCTGCAAGAAATGTTTAATAATATACGATGGTAATATGCAAGGAAATAATTATTGTAAAATAATGAATAAAATATGTAATTAGTGAACTGCACAGTCATATAATATAGTCAGGATGTTATTACAAACATGTAGAGTAATACCAGGGTAAGTAAACAAGACCAAAGATAAACACTACAGAAAGTAAACAGGGAAAGATCGAATGTAAACACAATGAGAGGGAAACACTTTCGAAAGTGATCACCATGGAAGGAAATAATATTGAAGATAAACAACATGGTAGGTAAACAACATGTAGGTAAACAACATGGTAGGTAAACAACATGGTAGGTAAACAACATGGTAGGTAAACAACATGGTAGGTAAACAACATGGTAGGTAAACAACATGGTAGGTAAACAACATGGTAGGTAAACAACATGGTAGGTAAACAACATGGTAGGTAAAAAACATGGAAGGTAAACAACATTGAAGATAAACAACATGGAAGGTAAACAACATGGTAGGTAAACAACATGGTAGACAAACAACATGGAAGGTAAACAACATGGTAGGTAAACAACATGGAAGGTAAACAACATTGTAGGTAAACAACATGGTAGGTAAACAACATGGATGGTAAACAGCATGGTAGGTAAACAACATGGAAGGTAAACAACATGGTAGGTATACAACATGGTAGGTAAACAACATGGTAGGCAAACAACATGGAAGGAAAACAATATGGTAGGCAAACAACATGGTAGGTAAACAACATGGTAGGTAAACAAAATGGAAGGTAAACATTGTAGGTAAACAACATGGTAGGTAAACAACATGGTAGGTAAACAACATGGTAGGTAAACAACATGGTAGGTAAACAACATGGAAGTAAACAACATTGAAGATAAACAACGTGGAAGGTAAACAACATGGTAGGTAAACAACATGGAAGGTAAACAACATGGTATGTAAACAATATTGCATGTAAACAACATTGAAGATAAACAACATGTAAAGTAAACAACGTTGAAGATAAACAACATGGAACGTAAACAACATTGAAGATAAACAGCATGTAAAGTAAACAACGTTGAAGATAAACAACATGGAAGGTAAACAACATGGTAGGCAAACAACATGGTAGGTAAACAACATGGAAGGTAAACAACATGGTAGGTAAACAACATGGTAGGTAAACAACATGGAAGGTAAACAAAATGGAAGGAAAACAACATGGTAGGTAAACAACGTGGAAGGTAAACAACATGGTAGGTAAACAACATGGAAGGTAAACAACATGGAAGGTAAACAACATGGTAGGTAAACAAAATGGAAGGAAAACAACATGGTAGGTAAACAACATGGAAGGTAAACAACATCGAAGGTAAACAACATGGAAGGTAAACAACGTGGAAGGTAAACAACATGGTAGGCAAACAACATGGTAGGCAAACAACAGGGTAGGTAAATAACATGGTAGGGAAACAACATGAGAGGTAAACAACATGGAAGGTAAACAACATGGTAGTAAACAACATGTGTGGAGAAAATTCCTCCAGGAGAGTGGAGTATCAGCCCCTTTCAACCCTCTCAGGAAGGGCAATGGTGTCTTGCCTGCTTCTGTGTCAACAATTTATAATTGATTCCAGAAGCAATACCAGCATGTATCATAGTCACACGACTTCCTTGCAAGAAACCACTGTTGCAAGGAGTGTAGTCACACGACTTCCTTGCAAGAAACCACTGTTGCAAGGAGTGTAGTCACACGACTTCCTTGCAAGAAACCACTGTTGCAAGGAGTGTAGTCACACTACTTCCATGCAAGAAACCACTGTTGCAAGGAGTGTAGTCACACTACTTCCTTGCAAGAAACCACTGTTGCAAGGAGTGTAGTCACACTACTTCCTTGCAAGAAACCACTGTTGCAAGGAGTGTGGATTAATAGGAGAAAATCGATCTCTTACCTTAGCAGGAAAATTAAGGAAAATCCTGCAACCATTTATCAACATGTTAAAGACAGCATACACTGACATCTATGTCCAGATAGCAAGAATCAAGCATTCTGCATTGCTACATGGTAGAAATTTGACAAGCAAGCTTGACCTGCACTTTTGTGTGTTGAGATGCCCAGGGAAAAGGGCCGACGGAGGGCGCTGCGGGGCAGATTGCTTTTAAACTTCGTCAAGGCAACTTGTGATTCATGCTGTAACAACAAAGACACTAGTGATCACGCATTTTGTTAATAAAAGAATCTCCACGAAGACAGCAGAACAATTACAGAGAAGTGTGATCAGCTTCCTGTAATGACATCAGTGTGAAAAAGACAAATCTTGAGGAACATAGTGTACCAGTGCGAGTGTTGAGTATTCCCAGACTGAGTGGAAGACGTGGACATCCAAGGACACTTGAGCTTCTATCAAGTCACCAATATCTGTCGAAGGTTCATCCAACACCATAGCTCACACTACAAGAGCAAGGTAAGTTTTATATTTAGTTGTCATGCCGGGGACAGCGCAGTTCCTGTGTCACAAGGGGTTCAAAATCATCCTATAGTCAGCAGTCAGATGTGGGCTGTTTAACCCAAACAATTAGAACAAATTAGAACAAATCTCAGTTTCTGAGATACGCTGAATAACACCACCTAGGGGTAATTATACAACCAATTTGTTATTGACAGTTCACAATTTTTGACATTGCTTGTTTATATGCTAAAACCACAGCACATGGTAGGTAAACAACATGGAAGGTAAACACTGGTAGACAACATGGAAGGTAAACACTGGTAGACAACATGGAAGGTAAACACTGGTAGACAACATGGAAGGTAAACACTGGTAGACAACATGGAAGGTAAACACTATGGTAGGCAACATGGAAGGTAAACACTATAATATACAACATGGAAGGTAAACACTATGGTAGACAACATGGAAGGTAAACACTATGGTAGACAACATGGAGAGTAAACACTATGATAGACAATATGGAAGGTAAACACTATGGTAGACAGCATGGAAGGTAAACACTATGGTAGACAACATGGAGAGTAAACACTATGGTAGACAACATGGAAGGTAAACATTGTGGTAGACAACATGGAAGGTAAACACTATGGTAGACAACGTGGAAGGTAAACACTATGGTAAACAACATGGAAGGTAAACACTATGGTAAACAACATGGAAGGTAAACAGTATGGTAGACAACATGGAAGGTAAACACTGTGGTAGACAACATGGAAGGTAAACATTATGGTAGATAACATGGAAGTTAAACACTATGGTAAACAACATGGAAGGTAAACACTGTGGTAGACAACATGGAAGGTAAACATTATGGTAGACAACATGGAAGGTAAACATTATGGTAGACAACATGGAAGGTAAACACTGTGGTAGACAACATGGAAGGTACACACTATGGAAGACAACATGGAAGGTAAACACTGTAGTAGACAACATGGAAGGTAAACACTATGGTAAACAACATGGAAGGTAAGCACTATGGTAGACAACATGGAAGGTAAACACCAAGGAGGAAAAAACACCCTAGAAGATAAACAACATAATATGAGCTCCATAGAGAGTAAACAAGATGAAAGGTAAACAACTAGAGAAGTAAACATCAATTAAGTTGTAGGAGAGAGAGTAAACACTGCACCTGACATATTACCTGAGTTCAGTGTTGTACCGCTGCTGTACGCTGGTAGCGACTCCTCGTCCTGGTACACAGATATCACAGATATAGTACAATATTGACAAGGTTGTAAGTTGTTAATGACGACCGAAGTTCCATATACTACTTGAGTGTCACTACCAACAGTCAAGGAGTAGTAGAGAGGAGGATCATCAGGTGGATCCCACGACACAGTGAGACTTGTCAAACCTGGCGTCACTGTCACGTTCTGTGGTGGACCACGACCTGTGACACATATTTTAAACATGTTAGTTGTTTATATTATTAATGTTAAAATAGAGATAAAACATTTTGAAATGAGAGACGTAGTTAATGATAATATATAAAATGTATTTCATTAATGTTCAGAATTTATTTCATATATAAGAAAAAATATTATCTATCATTGTTTAAAAAAACTGAAATGCAAAACTTTTGTGATGATTCCTGTTTAAAAATTGTCAACGTAATTTTAGTAAAACTATATTAACATGGGAAGAACAAAAAAAACAGTTAAATGGAACATCTTAATTCCTCATTGATGTTGGTTATGTTTATGTGGCGCCTAATAGGAAAAACTTGCAATTTTGGCTTAAATAGCGACGCTCTTCTTGCCGAATAAGGCAAGCGAAAATTTGTGTACACAATAATTTAGCAAAAATAATTCTGAACTCATCGACAAAAATATATTTCACTGTCTTTGTTTATTATTAAATTATTGTAAACTTATCTAAATTAAATTCTGCTTGTTATATTAAGGTTAGGAAAGTTTTCTAAGGTTCTTTTGGTACAAAATTATTAATTTTTAAAGTAACATAAATGAAAATATATATATATTTAAACGTATAAAACAGAATTTTAGAATTGACTTCTTTCTAATTGACCAGTTTTACCTATTCGGCACGACATATATATACAAATACATTATTACCTGAGTAGTGTGACCTAAGTGTATGTACAAGTATCAAGATATACCTGTTATCAAGAGGGTTTATGAGATATATATATAAATATATATATATATATATATATATATATATATATATATATATATATATATATATATATATATATATATATATATATATATATATATATATATTATATATATATTATATATATATATATATGCAAAACAACCACTCTGAAAGAATAGAGAAATTCCAAGCGCTTTCGTGACTACTCACATTATCAAGTTCCTTGATAATGTGAGTAGTCACGAAAGCGCTTGGAATTTCTCTATTCTTTCAGAGTGGTTGTTTTGCATATTCTGAAATCACCTGTTTACTGTGATCTTATTGCATATATATATATATATATATATATTATATATATATATATATAATATATATATATATATATATATATATATATATATATATATATGTATATATATATATATATATATATATATATATATATATATATATATATATATATATATATATATATATATATATATATATATATATTGGTAGATAAAAGACTGTTGAGTAAACTTCAGGATGTACATCTTTATAGAGGGTCCACAGATATATCAGATCACTTTTTAGGCAGCAAGTAATAGAGAGGTGAAGGTGTATAAACTAAAGGAGGAGGCAGTTAGGGTAAGATATAAACAACTGTTGGAGGAAAGATGAGCTAATGAGAGTATAGGCAATGGGGTCGAAGATGTATGGGGTAGGATTAATAATGTAATGATAGAGTGTTCAGCAGAAGTTTGTGGTTACAGGAAAGTGGGTGCGGGAGGGAAGAGGAGCGATTGGTGGAATGATGATGTAAAGAGAGTAGTAAGAGAGAGAAAAAGTTAGCATATGAGAAGTTTTTACAAGGAAGTAATGCAAGAGGAGAGGAATACATGGAGGGAAAAATAAGGAAGAAGAGTTATTAATTGGAGAATTAGAGGTATCGGGAAGATGGAGGGAATATTTTGAGGCATTACTAAATGTTGATGAATATAGAGAAGCTGTGATTTCGTGTATAGGGCAAGGAGGAATAGTATCTTGAAGGAGTGAGGAAGAATTGGTTGTGGGTGTGGGGGAAGGTGCGTGAGGCAGTGGGTAGAATGAAATGGGGTAAGGCAGCTGGGATTAATAGGATAAAGAGAGAAATGTTAAAAACAGGAGGGGATATAGTTTTGGAATGGTTGGTGCTATTATTTAATAAATGTATGGAAGAGGGTAAGGTACCTAGGGATTGGCAGAGAGCATGCATAGTTCCTGTGTATAAAGGCAAAGGGGACAGAAGAGAGTGTAAAAATTATAGGGGAATAAGTCTGTTGAGTATACCTGGTAAAGTGTATGGTAGAGATATTATTGAAAGTATTAAGAGTAAGACGGAGAATAGAATAGCAGATGAACAAGGAGAGAATGTTCCAGGTAAGCTTACCTAACCATATTTCTTTTGTTTCCCAGTTTTCTTCTGCATTGAACAAGTCATACATGCTTAAAATTCGACTTAATTTGTAATAATGTTGGTAGAATTACCGACAATATGTAAAGTAAAAGTACGAAGTGCAACTAATGTGACATTTTGTGTCAACGTTTCGCTCTCCAGGAGCTTGACAAAGCTCCTGGAGAGCGAAACGTTGACACAAAATGTCACATTAGTTGCACTTGCGTCCTTTTACTCGACTTAATTTCTAAAATAAAAAAAAAAAAAAAAAAAAAAATACTCTTTTAATCAGGTCATTCCAACAGAATGTAAACACAGTTTGTTGGATCATTGATATAATAAACTCAGAAGAATTTGTAATGAACTCAAAAACAAACTATAAAGAAAATTAGACATTTTAATTGAAAACAGTGATTGGACAAAGCTTAAAAATAAAAATTTTTGTAATTAACTTATCCGATGAAGTGTTAGATAAAAATACAACGGCTGTTCTAGGTTTTGGTCTAAGTTTTGCAACTTGATAAAAAACTTAATAGTGTTGAAAATGCAAAAGCCTTTTGTAACTTTGAACAATCTTTTGATTTATCCACTGATGAAATTAATATTAGTAAGGGAATGGTATATAACTCTGTGTTAAAACAAAATATTCTTAAGTGACCTCAAAGATTCTTATTAAATATAAAAAATTGCAACTTACTAAAGCAGATAAAATAAATGCAATAGTAATTATGAAAGAAAATAATTACCAAGATAAAATTAATAATCTGGATGATACTGAAAATTATTCTAAACTTATTAAGAATCCCTTAGAAACTGTTAACAGTAATTTCAATGATAAATTAGACACATGTGCAACTCTTGGGGATCTTTCTCTGGGAAACGTTTCGCCACACAGTGGCTTCATTAGTCCATACAAAGGAGAATCGTGAAGAACAGGAGAAGAATGAGGTAATCAGTGCCTCAACCTTGAGTCGATGTGGTCAGTCCATCAATCTTGAATAGAATACGGCATATGTGCGGAGAAGCAGCTTATAAACCGTGGGCAGGAGAGGTGCAGCAGTTGTAGGCGGTGTCACATTTGTCCAATGTCTAATTTATCAACGTGTCGGTTCTCTGAACCATTTATCTATTGTAATTTCAATAAAACAATAGAATTTCTACTGAAAGGCAAAGATGAATTAATTAAAAATTGCCTCCACTAATCCATCTCTACCCAATATGTATGGGTTAATAAAAACACACAAACCAGGTAATCCAGTCAGACCAATTATTAGCTCCATAGGTTCAGTTTCCTGTAAATTATCCTGTGCTTTAGTATAACATTTTTGTCTAAGGCTGTGAACAACTGACCTCATTCAATAACTATCGAGTTTGTACAGCCCATAATTTGAGTTATATACAGCATTCCTATCATGTTTCATGAGGGAGGACTCTATTATGTTTCTTTCCATGATGGAACTGTTGGGTACAGTTATCTGGAAGGTAGCCCACCCCGGTGGGTGATTACAAGAGGTTAAAGATTGCATTCGACATCTGGCCTGTCCTAATTGAGTACTGGTGTTGGGATGATCTGGTTTCCAGAGGTTTACCTGTCTGACCAATGTATGAGAGTTTGCAAAAGGTGCATTGGACCTTGTAGACACAGCTGACATTATAAGGTGATGTGTTTTTAATCAGTCTCTATTTCACTGTCCCAGTGTTTTTGAAAGTCAGATTTATATTGAGTTTCTTTAGATTCTCCTGCAGGGAGACCAAAATGTCATTTTATGGCAAGACCAATACATTTTTCCTGTCAGCTGACAGTAGGGCCTTCTCAACGAAATCCCTGGCAATCTCAGTTTTGTAGCTATGCTAAATATCTTGTTGATTTCATCGTTTAAATACTTAGGACTGCAGATACGCAATCCACACTACAGTATGTCCTCGGACCAAGGGTAACACACCTAGCTTGGCTGGGTGCTTGGTTTTTATAGGATTGCATGGTCCAGTGGGATAGAGCGTCATGGGACTTTGCTCAGCATGAGGTGGGCCAAAGCAGCATTGGTTTGAATCCGTGGGTAGTTGCAGTGTTGTTATTGATCAATATCACTTGTTTGGGGCCACAATAATATATATATATATATATTATATATATATATATATATATATATATATATATATATATATATATATATATATATATATATATATATATATATATATATATATATATATATATATATATATATATATATATGCAAAACAACCACTCTGAAAGAATAGACTGAAGAAATACTTCCTAACGTCCCTGTGACTCGTCTGAGTCTTCAGCTTCCAGTTGTGACCCCTTGTTTCTGTGTCCCCTCTATGGAACATCCTATCTCTGTCCACCTTGTCTATTCACCGCAGTATCTTGTATGTCGTTATCATGTCTCCCCTTACCCTTCTGTCCTCCAGTGTAGTGAGTCCGATTTCCCTCAACCTTTCCTCGTACGACATTCCCCTGAGCTTTGGGACTAGCCTTGTTGCAAACCTTTGTACTTTCTCTAACTTCTTGACGTGCTTGACTAGGTGTGGGTTCCAGACTTGTGCTGCATACTCCAGTATGGGCCTAACATACACAGTGTACAGTGTCTTGAACGATGCCTTATTAAGGTATCGGAACGCTATTCTCATTTTTCCAGGCGCCCGTATGCTGCAGCAGTTATTTGGTTGATGTGTGCCTCCGGTGACGTGCTCGGTGTTATGGTCACCCCAATTTCTTTCTCCATGAGTGAGGTCTGTAGTCTTTGTCCACCTAGCCTATACTCTGTCTGCGGTCTTCTTTGCCCCTCCCCAATCTTCATGACTTTGCATTTGGCAGGATTGAATTC